AGACTTCGGTCAGGCTTGAAAGGGCAAGAGAAGGAGAGGGTGGAGGCATGCACCTAGGCCTGACTGGGCCACTGCCCGCTGAACATGGGGGCCGGCTCTCGGCCACGCTGCCCACGTGGCTCACGTCCCCACCCTGCAGGCAGGGACAGCTCCTGCCTCAGACGGGCCGGCTGCCTGGCAGGAGGATCCTGAGTACGTGGTGGTCAGGGAGCCCCGTCTGCCAGAGCGAGGGGCCAGCTGCCAGTGTGGCAGGAATGTCATCTCCCATCTAAATGCCTGGTCAAGGACGCTCCCATCTCCTCCCACCTGCAATTCTGCTCACTCAGTCCAGCATCCATGTCTTGCTGCCCCTGTCTGCCCTGCTCGCGGCCAGTATGATCCGGCCAGCCTCAGCACACAGGAAGAGGTGTCCTCAGTCACCCAGCCACCACCGGGGCACCTCCCACCCCCACCAGTGCAGACTCGAGGACACCTGCCCCAGCCCAGGGCCTCCCGGCACAGCCCCTCCTCCCACCCACACACCGTGGCCCATCTGGGGCTGCTCCCGAGGGAACAGAGCCCCTCCTGAACAGCACAGCTGCCCCCGCACCTCCTCATCACTCACCCCAAGCTCCACGGCCACTGCCAGGAAACCGCTGGCTACAGGCACCAAGCTGCAGGTGGAGTGCCAGAGGGAAGCCAGACCAGGAAGAGGGGGCGGGAGAGAGAGCACTTGGGTCACTGTCCTTGCTCCTGCCCAGGATGTCCTGGCGTTCCATCCCCTGACCAGCCACTGTTAACCTCAGGAGCAGGCCCAGAGGCACACCTGGCCCCTTCAGGGGTCTCTGGTGTATGTGCCTGGGGGTGTTTGGGGGGGCATATGCTGTGAGTTCTCATCCTCATCTGCACGAGGGCCCACCACACCCGGCACCATGCTAAGCAATGCACAGACACCATCTCATGTAATCCTCACGGTGCAGGATGCAGCCAGGGAACCTACCTCCACCCCCCTGCATAGCCGGTGACCCACCCATGGATGCACAGTGAGCCCCCATGGTCAGGACCTGATCCCATCTGCAGGATGTCAGGGCCCGGGAACTGGGACATCAAAGTAACCCTGCAGGAAAATGCAGTTCTTGCTTCTCTGAACTTTGCCAGGAGGCACTGCCTCGCTGGACCCACCAGAATCTATGGGTGTCCAGGAACAAAAGGGTTCCTGTGGTCCCCTGGGAAAGGACGACGTAACTGGGGTGACCCTAGCTCCCCAGGAGGCCGTGGCCACTACCACACTCCCAGGTTCCCAGCCCCCAGGGAACCATTCATTCCTTCACTTATACATTCATACGAAGCATGGCTATTGCACAGATGCTCCACTACCGAGCCACGCACCGTCCCAGCCACCAGGGGTTCAGCAGTGGCAGAAACACCCCTGGCCTGGAGCCTAGCTCCCTCGGCCCATGTGAGGGCTTTGCATATCCACTGACAGCTCTTCACAATAGCATCTGAGAGGTACCCCGAAAGAGGCAGCAGACAGAGGGGCCCCTCACGACCACCATCGAGCCCCTCCTAACACTCACAGGCTCTGGACCCCTCCCCACCCTCGTCTGGCAGGGGGCTCACTGCACTCTGGTGGCCACCTTCTCAAGCAGCCCAGGTGCTGTGTCCCCAGGGTACCCCTGTGGGGAGCAGGGAGGGACAGGCCCACCCCCAGCTCAGCAGCCTCTGGCCCAGGTGTCCTGTAGGCATCCTTCCTCGCCAGGAGGGGACAGGTTTGCATTTTGACTTCCAAGCAGACCCCGGGCTGATCCTCAGGAAGACCAGCTCCTCTGGTGAGATCACAGCTGTCACATTTTGTCCTCCAGGCCAGAGCGCTTGCAGGAGCACTGTGATCAACCAGTTATGTCTGTCACGGGCACCGGGAGGGGCGATGGAGATGCAGCAGGTGCGAAAGAGACACGTATGCTGTGCTGTGAAGGATGCTTCACGGGATACAAGCCGCCTGGAGCAGGTTCCAAGGGTACTCAGGGGTCCCTCAGTCACTGACAGGGCAGGGTGGCAGCCATCCCAATGGGGGCAGAGGACTCTACAGGCAGTCACAGGGGAAGGACAGCAGGACCTTCTGCTCTGATCGCAACCCAGACCGACCATCGGGCACACTCTCCCCTACTTGTCTCCTACAGCACCTCCACCCTGTGGGCCTCTTGCCACACGGAAGAGCTGGCAGTTCCCAGCATCCTAGAGGCTCCTGCGGAATGCAGGTTCTCAGGCCGCACCCAGACCCTCCGAACCAGCAGCTCCAGGGCCTTAGGGCCCCAGGTGATTCCTATGCACAGACTGGGGGCCGAGAACCAGGCTGCAGACACCCCCGACCCCGCTGACTGCTTACCTGTGTGGTAAACACAGGACCACCTCTCAGAACTCAAGCTCTGGGTGCCACCAACCCCCCAAGGGTGTTTTCCAGGAAAGCCCATGTCCCTGTCCCCTCGGCAGTTGTCCCCACAGAGCTGTCCCCCCAGGGAGGGGCCTGGGCGCCCTGATGAGGAGACATCACACTGTCTCTATGGATTTGGCTCAGTAATTGTGCCCAGCTGGGCCCTGAGGAGGGAGCGGCGGCCCCTCTCTGCTGCAGCCCTCACGGCCTGGCCTCTCTTGGCAGCAGCCATGACCAAAGCCCACCTGGGGCCAGCCACCTCCCAGCCGCCAAGGCCACTTTCATGCTCCAGTGGAGGGTGGGCCTCGGGGGTTCTGGGCGTGGACCAGCTCTCCTCTGCGGGCTTTGCTATCGAGGACAGATGCTCATGCCCTGTTTTTTCCAAATCTAAGCCCATTGAAAAACGCAGGAAGCACTGCTCCATCCTGCAGCCTGGAAAGGAGGCTCATCCTCATCTCTATTTGTAGGGATACAGGACACTGTCACCCCTGCCTCCAATGGGTGACCCTGGGCACTAGCAGGCCCATGTGGCTCAGGATCACACCGCAGGCACATCCACATCCCCAAAAGGTCTCAGGGTTGGGGGTAGAGGGGCTGGTACAGCAACCACAGCCTGGGCCAAGCCCCACATGGGCTGAGGGCACTGTGTGCCACATTATCCCATTCTTCCACAGGGAGCCCAGCCCAGAGAGGGGAAGTGCCCGCCCCAGGCTGCTCAGCAGCGATGGGCCTAAGCCAGACGGTGTCTGCGGTCCCCCTGAGCCAGCCAGCCCCCAGTACTCGGAGCTGCTGTCACTGGAGTTCTTGAACCTTTGTCATGGGCAGAGGCGGTCACTCTGCCCTAAGTGGAGCTCATCAGGTGTGTGGACTCTGAACTCTGCTCACAGCATGAACTCTGTGGGATTTGTCGGACAACTGCCCTGCGTCCTAGGCCTCAGTCCCAATCAAGTTTTCCTGGCCGCTGGACGTTAAAGTCATTTCTGCAGAAGATGGTCGGCTACATCCTGGGGCTGCCTCACAGACCCAGGGGCTGAGAACGGACCTGCAGCCAGACAGGCGCTGCTCCGAGGACCCCACACCTTGGAGCACGCTTCCCCAAGCCCTGTAACTGCCTTTTATGGATGGATGCCAACAAACCACACCAAACACAACTGGAAGGCAAGAAATACACACAAACGCCAGCCTGTCTGGACGCCGGAGCCAAGGAGAGCTGATGACGCTTCTTCCTTTTACATTCCAGGTTCTGTACAAGCAAGTGTCACATTCAGGATGGAAAAAGATAACCAATAAACCTGATTTCATCTTAATCTCCCAGGGGAGTCATCATAAATGCTGGTCCTGTTTGTTTCCGAGCCTGAACATGTCTGGTGGATGGGTCGGGGGGTGATAAGCAGAGCAATTTGGGACCTCAGTGCTCAGGGAGCAGCTCCGTCTTTGTCTTGGTTTCCCAGAATGGATTTCCTTCCCTCTAAAATCTCAGATGTGGGGAGCAGCTCATATTCTGCTGATAAACCCAGGCTACCATTTTCCTTCTACCGTGGATCAAAGGTCACAGAAAAATCAGATCCAAATAAACTAAATCTTTAATTAGTGATGAGGTTGGACAGCCTGAGCTGTAAGTGAGCCCCTGGCTGGGGACACAAAATCATCCAGAAAGACGCAAGGGTCTGTCCTCCCAGATGCCTCTGGCCTGGGCAGGCTGCAGCTTCTAAAGAGGTCCTGGGGACGACCACCCAAGCCCCACGGGGCAGACCCCCAGGTCCCACCCTGACTTAGGAAAGCACACAGACGGCAGGAAGCTCTGGCTAACTCAGAAATGGTTTCCCTAGAACCAATGCGTGCAGCCTCCCACGGAGACCTTGGCTTTCAATGGGGCGACTCCCATCCAGCTGCACCAGACGGTTCCTGCCCTCCAGGTCCATCCACAGCTACCTACCCCCTCACCTGGCCCAGACTCTGCTCATGCACCTGCCCCTGCAGCTCCAGGGGAGCTGGGCCCTGAGCCCCTTCCTCCAGCCCTGAAGCTTGTACCCAACACTAAAGTCACCTTGGAAACCAACACAGTGCCCACCAGCAGCCACCTCAGGACCCATTGCTCAGTGCCCGGCAGCCCCGCTGAACCCAAACCCAGTAAGGGCCGCATCTCACACCAGTTGTTGGCCCACAGCACCACATATCACATGGGCCCCGTACCAGGGGCCCCCAGCTGGTCCGTGCAGTTTGGGCTGTCTCTGAGTCCACAGACAACCAGCGTAGCTTCCTCCCCAACCTCACATGTCTGCAGTGCTGGGAGCATGGCCGTCACACCTTCGTGTCACCAGCAGAACAGCCCTCCTTCTTTATGCACCTGCTACCCCACAAGTAACACCAGCACATGGAACAAAGGAGATGCTGCTCTGTTGCAGGAAAGGCTGTTTGGGGGCCCAGAACCCGCTCAGACCAACCATGGCCTGCCCCCCCCACAAGAAACTTCAAGGAGCCCCCTGGTTCCAAGGAGCACAGTTCGAGAAACACCGGTCCCTATCCTGAGGACAGCATAGCTGAGAGGACCAGGCCCTGCAACCCAGCCCTGCCCGCCACACCCTCCTACCTGGAGGCCGCGATCTCCGCCTTCTGCTTGGCAATGGTGGCAGCCCGCTCGGCGGCCTCCACCGCCCGGTCCACCTTCTCGCGGATCTTGCTGGCACGCAGCGGAATGAGGTTCTTGCGCTTGCCGCTCACGAGGACATTCTGCTTGTACTTGCCCTCCTCCTTGGTGCCATCGGGGAAGGTCATGCAGCCGTAGCCATGCCGCCTGTTGCCAGCCCACTCGCCCTCGTACTTGAGCCCGTCGGAGCGCTGGCTCACGCCGAAGCCCGAGCGCTTGTCGCTCTTCCACTCGCCCACGTAGGTCTCCGTGGTGGTGGCGTCGATGTCATCCTCGATGACCGCCAGCTCGGCCTCGCCCTCGCCCAGGCTGATGGTGGAGTGGATGTCGCTGGCCGTGGAGCTGACCGTGCTCATGCCGGCCTCGCTGCGGAACGAGCTCTGCTTGCTGCGCTGGCTGGCCAGGCTGCTCTTGGACTCGGACTTGCGCAGCTTCAGGCCGCTCAGCAGCGAGCGCCGGAACAGCCCCTTCTTTTTGCTCTTGAGGATGTCGGAGTCGCTGTGGGCCACGAGCACGAAGCCCCCTCGGGACACGGCCGGGCTGCTGGCCACCGCCGGGGAGGCGTCGGGGTGCAGCGCCGCGCCGTTGGTGTGCTCGCTGCGCAGAGAGTTGATGGACGTCCTCAGGGGCGAGCGGATGACCGCTGCCATGCCGTAGGGAACGCTCTGCCGCACGCCGTAGCCTTGCCGCATGCCGCCGACCCACTGGCCCTGGTAGGTCCCTGCAGACACAAAGGAAAGAGAGGTGAGCCTCTGGAGGGCGACGCGAAGGAGGACGGGAGCGGTGGCCTGAGCCCTCACGCTTCTGTCCTGGGACAACCTGGTGGGCTTTGCTGGGAGGCAGACAGACCACCGCATGTTTTTAGGACTCTATCACCCATGGTTTTTGGTGAAGACGCACTCGTCCTGCTTTGCACCGTTGCGTTTCTTTCTCTTACAAGTTGGGAAAGGGAAGCGAGGTGTCAGAGTCTGGAACTGAAGGATCCTTGGGTAGCTCAGCGGTTTAGCGTTTGCCTTGGGCCCAGGACATGATCCTGGGGTTCTGGGATTGAGTCCCACGTCGGGCTCCCTGCGTGGAGCCTGCTTCTCCCTCTGCCTGTATCTCTGCCTCTCTCTCTCTCTCTTCTCTCTCTCTCTCTCTGTCTCTCATCAATAAATAAATAAAATTTTAAAATAAAAAAAAAAAAAGAGTCTGGCACTGAGTCTAGAGCGAACTGGAGAGTTCCCTGCACACAGGCAGAGGCCCCACCCTGAGAAGACAGGGAAGAGCACAGCGGGCAGGAAAGAAGCAGGTGCTATGTGAGTGGCCCCAAAGGTCATGGGGCGGGGGAGTCCAGCTACAGGGACACAGATCCCGGCTACAAACCCGGTGTGAAAGGGCTGCCCCGGGAGGCAGTAAATTCCCAACTGCTGGGGGTATCCAAGAAGGGTTTGCAAGAGCACTGAGGCACATTAAGGTGTTGCAACCAGCAAACCCAACATCCCCAAGAGAATCAAAAGCAGGAGCTCAAAGAGCTCTTTGCACACCCATGCTCACAGCAGCATTAATCAGAATAGACGACAGGTGGAAACAACCCAGGTGTCCACTGATGGACAAATGGATAAACCAAATGGGGTCCATCCAAACAATGGAATATTTTTCAGCCTTAAAAGTGACACCCACTACAGCACAGGGGAACCTGTGAAACAAGCCAGTCACAGGAGGACAAACACCATGTGAGAACACTGACACAAGGCCCTTCCAACAGTCAGGTTCAGAGACAGAAGAATGGCAGGTGCCAGGGGCGGGGTTTGGGGACACAGGGAGTTGTCCTTTAATGGAACTAGTTTCTACTTGGGGTGATGGAGAAGCTTTGAAAGTAGAGTAGAGGTGATGGTTGCACAACACCATGAATATAACACCACTGAATTGTGTAAGGCGTGGTTACAGCTGCAAATTTTATGATACGTAGAATATCTTACCACAACACAATTAAAGGGGAAAATAAATTGATAAAACCAGGCTCATGTCTCTGCTCTCCTTACCCCTGTGTGATGGGAGCTTCTCTGACCCTCAGTCTCCTCGTCTACAGAAGGGGACCTACGTCACCGGGAGAGGAGAACAGCCCCCAGCGTTCCTGGACTCACTGCCGGGCCCCCGCTGAGCTCCACTGATGGGGTCCCCACCCCGGACGGGCTTTTCAGGGAAAATGGGGAGAATCTGTCCCACTACGCTTCCAGCTCACTGTCACAGGGACTGCAAACCAGAAACTCACCAATACACAGGCTTTATTTGTCCCATGGTGTTTTTATAAAAAAACTGGAATAGCCAACATTTCAAAACATTTCACATAAAAGCTCAGCTCTTCTTTCTCCTAAAAATTTAAAGGCTCTGGCAAGCCAAAAATCTTTGTTTTCAGATGGAAAAATGGAGTGGAGTCCAGCAGCAAATGGACTCCAAACCGGGTGCCCCCTCCAGTTTGCCCCACTCCCAACTCCTCCCTACTATCTCCCACCCAGGCCCTCTCCATCACATGCCTGCCCTACACCAGAGGAAAGACACAAAGCCTTGCCATGTGGCCCCAGAGAACTTCAGTCACTGTTGTGTCACTGCCCATCACAGTCACCGACAACGCCCAAGTCAGAACAGGTCCCCACCCTTCACGGGCTTGTCTGAGACCCCGGGATTCAAATCCCACCCAATCCAACCCAGCTGGCACCCCCTCCTCAGTAACACCTCGAGGTACCCCAGCCCGTAGAGCTGACCATGCTCCCGCACAGGACTTGCAGCATTTAAGCCAACATCCAGCATTCTACAGGCAGGCTCTGGAGGGTCTTACACATTTGCAGGACACGTCCCCTGCTCAAGTGGGTTGCGAGCTCCCCACAACCAGACACCTGATTCTGCTGGCAACTCATGCCTGGCCTTGCTGGGGAGAGATGTAGCTGGGGCTAGAGGCCAGGGCAAGGGACCTGGGAGCCCTGTGCTCCAGCAGACAGTGGCCTGTCCACTGAACAAGTGACCCCCACAAATGTACTTTCTAGAAGCCAAGCCTGAGACCAGTGTCCTCCTGGACATGTCCATGAGGGAGGGCGTCTTAGCTGCACGTGTGCTTTAGCCTAATCCCATGGGACTAATCCCACCCTAAGGTGGGGGCTTCTGCACCTCCACAGCAGACAGCCATCTGGTAGCCCCAAAGCTGGGTGGGGGGCATGCTCTACAAAGGGACGTAGCCCAGGGCCCAAATGCAGAGCAGCAGGGGTGCTCCTCACCCTCTCCCCAGCTCCCACCCCTGCCCCAACCAAGAGCTCCTCCCACCTCAGGCTGCATGAGCCAGGCATGGCCCCTTCCCCATGGGAGGGTAGGATGTGGGTTTTACCCATGTGCCCCACAGCCTCCACTGCACCCCTTCCCAGAGCCAAACTGGCTGTAAGCAGGTGACTGTCATGGGGCAAAGGTGGTGGTGGATTCCGTGCCATGCGGTGTGCCGGTGTGTCTCACACTGGGACAGAGACCCCGTGGCTCACAGCAGCCAGGGTTATGAGTAGGACCCCGGGACCAGGTGTGGACCAGTATTGTATACTTTAAGTGGTTAAGATGGCAGATTTTATGTTTATTTTGCCAAATTTTTAAAAATTAATAAAGTGAAGGCACCTCCAGGAGCTTCATGCACAGCCTGGCTGAGGCTGTGACCAGCAGGGGCTTGGGGAGGCGTCGGGAAAGGGCCAGACCTGGGTTCGAGTCCTGACTGCACGCTTTCTGGATCTGTGACCTTGGGAACATCTCCTTGAACCTCAGTTTCCTCATCTGTAAGGTGAGGAAGGCAGCTGTGCAGGTATGGAGGGGGTCACGGATACAGAGTGTCGAAGGTTATCAACATTCCTCATCCAAACCTGAGGGAGCCAGGAGCACCTCACTGCAGGTGAGGGAACACAGGCCCACCCAGGCACACTCAGCCAGAAGCCGAAGGGCAGATCTGAACCTAGGGCTCCCCATCCTCGCCCCTCTCCCCAAGCACCCGCATCCGGCCACACTGGCCTTCTAGGGGCCACGTGAGGAGCAGCACGGCCAAGACAAGCCACGGCCCCTGCAAACTTCAGTTCCCATGGCGGTGGAGCAAAAGCAAGGACTCGATGTAGTTTTCCTGAGCTCTGGGACTCCTGAGGTCCTTCTACAGATCAGGGGAAAAAATGTACATGTGCTCCGGGGCTAGACAGGGGCAAAGGCCAGGAGAAGGACCCTTCATGTCCCGAGCAGGCAAATCCAGAGCAGAAAGCAGAGTGGTGGCTGCTGGGACGGGGAACAGGGCTTCATTTTGGGGGATGAAAATGAGTTGGTGTTCTGTACCAGTGGTGACCACACAGCAGTGTGAATGTGCCAGATGCCCATGAATTGTTCACTTTAAAATGGTTAATTTCGGGACGCCTCGGTGGCTCAGTGGTTAAGCGTCTGCCTTCAGCTCAGGGCGTGATCCCGAGGTCCCAGGATCAAGTCCCACATCAGGCTCCTCGCAGGAGCCTGCTTCTCCCTCTGCCTGTGTTTCTGCCTCTCTGTGTCTCTCACGAATAAATATATAAAATCTTTAATTAATTAATTAAAATAAATAAAATAAAATAAAATACATAAAACTCCTGTGCCCAACGTGGCACAGCTGAGCAGAGCCCGGGGAGTTACACCATGAGTCAGGCAGCCCGAGCCCCGATCTGGGCGGCCTGGGGTGATGACTGTGCCCGCCACATGGTACACAGACCGTAGGTAGCACCCACGCACATGAAGAGCTGGCCATGGCGGAGCCTTCCTTGGTCAGAGCCTGCAGTTTGGTTGTATTTGCATGGTTACCCCCAGTGGGAACACATCTCTGAGTATGGCCAATGTCAGGAAGAAACTGGATTCGACATCTCGGAAACTGCAGACCAGCTCTGCTAGGATCAGCCTGGGAGCATCTGCTGCAAAGGGCATGTAGGCATCAAGAGACCAGACCCAGGCCAGCTCTGCGACCAGGCAGGCCATGGGGAGGCGGCTTCTCCCAAGGGGAGGCTCCCCTCTACCCTCCTTCCCAGCCTCCTCTCTGCCCCAGTCCTTTGGCGGGCTAGGGTGATAAAGGGTTCATTTCAAGCTCCCCCACCCCAATTCCCGTGATTGTTTGAATCCAACTGGTTATTTGCACACCATTAAACTGTTAAACCCAGTGTTTAGTTTCATTTTACACCCCAAGCAACCTGTGTGTGAAGAGGCAGGAGCCAGGGTGCCCAGTTCGAGGGGAAGCCAAGTGGCCCCAACAGGTGTTGTCCCGCTGGATGCTGGAGGGGCCCTGGAGCAGAGGCAGCTTCCTATGCACACCTTCACCCTGACCCTGGGCTGCCCCTCACAGGAAGACACCCAGAGGTGGACGGATCCCTGAGGGCATCCCTTCCACCCTCCAAGTCAGCTCAGGAAAGCAGGGGACCCTCCCACCGACTCTGCCACCCCCTCACCTGCCCACCACAATGAAGATAACTGACTGACCCCTCCATCCCCATCAGCTGGAAGTCAGAATCAGGAGATCCAAGGGGACCCCAGGCGAGCGGGCAAGCCTCCCTGGGCCTCACCTGCAAGATGCCCCCTGGAGCCAGCGGGGCTAACTCGCAGGGAGCACCACACAGGATGAGGCCAGCGGGGGTGGGGTGCTAAACCTCCCACCAACTTCCCGACTCGGGGTGCAGGCTGAGCTCCTGCATGCCTAATCCCTCAGGTGAGGCTGAT